AGATGCCTATTTTCCTAAGAGTTAGAAAATTTGTTGTCTACTTAAACTAATAGAAACAACAGTAATAATTTATCATGATCTCGAAAAGCATACATCAATCTTTTTTCCTTAATTTTAAGAACTTCTACGAATAAACCTCAAACACTTTTTAACTTCTAATGTGATATGCTCATTCCAACTTATATTTTTGCATAAAAGATATATAGAATACATATGGTAAGAGCAACATTAGACTCATAACTTTATCATGCATGAAAAGCCAATTGTAAGAAAATCAATCTAATAACAACTTTCCTAAACAGATAGATACTAATTGATATACAACGATAAATTCACCGTTCAGTCAACAAGTACAACTCTTGATTAGTCCATGATCCATAACATGACATTGGAATAATGCAACACATGTAGTGACTAATCATAATTTTGGGAATAATACAATCATTTTATTGCAACATATGAAAACAACACATCAAAATTCAGGTTAAAATAATTAAATATCTAAAAATATTTAACATAAAAGGAAAATAAATTACGAAAGAAAATGTGACATTTTAGGAATAGGACAAGTAGATGTCACATAATTCTTGTATGAATAAAACAACCCAGTAATTGAAAATAGGATAAGAAAAAATGCGAATAATTGAGATCAATATGATGAGAAAAAACTTATTTAAGAAACACTATAATTATATGTAGATAATGGAACAATAAGAAAATTTATTTATCTTCTAATGAATAATACATGACAATATTTCAAAAGTACAATAGAAAATATAATGAATATATTACTACAAAAATCTCAAAATGTTTATAAATAAGACATCATGTGATAGAAATAAGGCATAATAAAATGATGATAATATATTTTGAAAATAAGATAATAGTTAAAGTTATTGAGATAACATAATTATTTACACTACTAGTTGATACCGTACAAAAGTTTAAACATAATACAACATAATATGTATATTTAAGATAATATATTCAACACTTTATGTAGTAGACACACTATAATAATTTTTGGAAACAACAGGCATGAAATATAATTTCTTGAAACAAGATAGTCTATAATAGAAATAATACACAATAAAATGGTAAGAGCATAACAGTTTTCACATATAACAAATATATGTAGATACTTTATACCTTTATGCTAAAGACATTTTCTTTTATGAAAACAATGAAATCATTTCTACAAATGATCAAAACTCATATGGTGACATTAGATTAACACTTGTAAACAATATGAAAGATGCTAGTAAACTATAAAACTCAATTCTATTAAAACATAATGCTAATTGTGTTTGATATTCTTAGGTACAATTTTGTTTACTGATTTGTAAAATAAATCATTCGTACAAGAATATTATGCAAATATCCCATAATAAATATAAAGCATAAAAGAGAACAATAAAAATGTACAAGTTCTCATATAAATATTTAACCTAACGAGTTGTATTGGTGCAAACTTATTGTTTAGACGTTTAGTAAATATAATTTTCTCATGATTCTTACTTCTAGAATTAAGTTATATAATGGTATTGGTAATAATAGATAAACTTTTCATTCACTAAAAATCTTCAAATTACTAAATTGTAAAAAAAAAAATGAAAATACATGACTTCTGATACAAAATCATAAACATGCGAGATAAGAGTGATCATATTATGAGTTGAAGTGAAAAAGTACAATAGGAGATTGTTTTACTTTGGTATGACTATAATCTTGTCCAACACAAACCATAATTTAGTAGAATTTAAAAAATTATCTTTTTTTTTTTAAAAAAAGGTTAAAAACTAAAACTTAAATTCTATATAAAAATTTCAGACTAAAAAATTTACTTTCAATTATTTTTCCGACTAAAAAATCATCCATCTCATTTTAATATAGGTCTAAATCGATAAATATCATAATATAATAACAGATATTGTATTTAAATGGTTTAATCATTCACTTCTTTTGGATGGGTAAATACAAATATAAGTTTTAATTATTGAAACTTCTTTCCTAAAAATTAATACTGAAGATTTCAAGTTACTTATATTCATTTTTTACAAATGGGTACTGTAGAAATTTTCTTTTATGATTAAAAGGTAGTTAAAAGGAAAAAGAATATGACGAAAAAAGGAAAATAAAAATAATAAAATCTTTTCACATGAACCACGCACTTGGTCATTCCCAACAACACTCTGTACTTCATCTATCATCTCCTTTTCGGTGCCACGTTCCGAAATTTTCCGTAATCTCTCTCCCTTCATCCCCGAAAACCCTAATCCCGAGAAAATAAAAAACCTCTTCAAATTCCCAATTTCCGGATCCGTCCCACGACGGATCGCGATCTTTCTCTGTTTCTAAAGTGAAGATTTGATCAATTAAAGGTCAATCTCACAATTTTCTTATAAGTTTACCGGAGATCCTTGCGATTTGAATACGACCAGCGTGGTTAAGGAGATCACCACTTCTCGTTTGCGTTTAATTGAGGCTTCGGTGTTGTTTGGTCTTTGGGAATTAGGGTCTTTGTTTTTTCAAAATGGATTCGAGCAGGAGAGCTGTTGAATCCTACTGGAGATCGAGAATGATTGATGCTGTGACGTCTGATGAGGATAAGGTTGCGCCTGTTTACAAGCTTGAAGAGATTTCCCAGCTCCTGCGCTCATCTAATAGCAGTATCGTGAAGGAGGTCTCTGAGTTTATCTTGAAGCGGCTTGATCATAAGAGTCCTGTCGTTAAGCAGAAGGTATGAATAATGCTTCTTGTAGGTTCTGGTAAATGTTTGCCAGTTCAATTTCTAATTTGGATCATGGTGGTCGTATGTTTGGCCGACGAAGAATTGTTTCCTTTTTGTATACGCGGATGCTTTCAGTGCGTTTTCTTCGTTGATGCTGTGAATGTATGAATTGTTACCGTTTTGGTTATTGTCTGAGAATGGTTATGTAACCAAATTGAAATTTTGTTTTTGTTAACATTGTTTGCTTTCCTGAGACTCAAAATTGTAGTCGCTGTAGCTTAGTGGTTACAGAATGATGTTGAGTTGTCATTGTCAAAAGTGTTATCTTTGAAGTGGATTTGGCATGGAAGTTTGAGCATAAGTGTTGTACTTATACTGCCTTATACTCGGTGAAATCAGTCTGATTGAGCATCTTTTTCCCATTCGTGGAAGGGGAGGAGATTTTGGATTTCTTATTTCAATGTGTTGGAAATTGAAGCGATTGAGTCATTAGTAAAGTAGTTAAATAATGCTCGGTTTAGCTTGTTGTTTAGAGATGTATAAGTTCTTTTATCTCAAAAATTCAGTTCTGTTTAATTAGGTTGGTAAGTGACTCACATATTAGTATTGTTAATGTTAAGCATTTTTTACATGGATGCTAGAAAAGTATGTGAAAAAGCAAATTCTTTCTGAATTATGGTAATTAGTGATACTGACAAATGGATAAATTTACTTTCTGATTTAGTTTTGGCTTCCAATGTTGTCTTGGTTTATAGACCTAAACAGTCATCTCATCTGAGGCTTGTACACGAACTTAGTGATTTTTATGACGAAAAAGAATATTTTGTTAGGAAGGGAAAAGAGAAAATTACATTAATGGAGGATAAGCTGTCTCTTTTGGTATCTCCTTGGGCTAAGGTGTATGGTACTTTAAAAATTACGCCTTATCTATTTTGCATAGATATTAGCCAGCAATCAATTTTGTTGATCTCTCTCCTTATGTTCTGTTTCTTTTTCTTTTGGGAGGATATTTAATTCCCCACTTATTGAACTCCTCTTTCTCAATCTAACATTATTCCTTTTCTATGTAAAAAAAAGGAAAATAACATCAATGGAGGATAAGAAAGCCTCCTTTGAAGAACAATAAAGAAGAGAAAGAGAAACAAAAATCAGTGCAAAACCGGTTGGTGTGGCCCGATCTTGTTGGAAAATAGCAAAAAAGATATTCCTAAAATCCCATGCACCTTAGCCAAAAGAGATGCCAGAAATTTTATCCTCTCCCACAAAGTGGTGGAGCCAAAAACTGTCTTGAAGATCTTTTCATTACTCCCCAATGCAGCACCCACAATCCAGCAAAAAGAACTATCCAAAGCAACCTTTACTTCCGAAACCATGAATTGTGTGAGAAAAAAAACTCAAGAGAGAGGAGAACCCACTTAATACTGAAAGAATTGTAAAATATCATCCAAAGCCTCCAAGCCGGATCACAATGCGAAAAACATGTGACAATGGGATTCTGCCTTCCGATAGCATGGAGGACACACATACATGGTTGGGTTATTTTATAAAAACTTGATAAAAAATGAAGCAGTGGAGAACAAGTTCCCTTTTCAGAAAATTGGAGAATGAATGCCCCTCCAAGAATTGCTTTCTTCGGGTGGGAAGCAGGACGTAGATGTATTTTGACCATCGATAAGTTGATGAGAAGAGAGAAGATTTTGGTGAACAGGTGCTATCTATGTGAGAGGGTGGAAGAAACTTGTGTGCCCTAGCATATAATCTATGGTGTACAGCATCTAGGTTGTTGGGTATTAGTTGAGTAATAATAGATAATATCAGGGAGAAGTTATGGGCATGGAAAGGTGTTAGTGATAGAAAAAAACAGTTAGGACTTATTCCTCTTGCTATCTTTTGGGTGGTGTGGAAAGAAAGAATAGAAGGACTTTTGAAGAGGTGGAAGAGAGTGTTGGTAAGGTTAAAGCTAGGTGCTTTATCTAAAAAAAAAAAAAAAAGTTAAAGCTAGGTGGTATCAAACCTTGGGCTTTTTGGCTACGTGTAATTCTTTGTATTGCATGGACGGTTTAGGTAACCTTATCGACTGTATGATTGACATGTAAATATCTTTTGTACATGAGTTGACACTTGCTTGATGCTTGTAATTAGTGAATACGTATTGTGTCAACTTGATGCTTGTAATTAGTGAATACATATTGTACTTTTTATTTTAAAAAAAATTATGGTCAGGCCTGTGTGCTTAAAACAAATCTTTTGCATTAAATCTGTTAAGAACTCTATCTTAGACAAAAATGTTAACGTTTGTGGGAGTGTTCACCTTCAATAAGACATCGGTGGAGTTCACATTTTGATTGGTAACAATGTAAGTAAGACAGTTAAAGAAAGATTTGCAACTTTAAACTCGAAAGAGTCTAGAGACCAAATTCTGTGATCAATATATGAAGACATGTTAAAATATTCAAGGAGGTTTAGGAAGGAGAGTATGTCAATAGGCTTGTTAATTTGCAAGGATTATGGTGATACCAAGAAGATTAAATTATGATGTAAGGTTCCTTTTTTATTCATTATTTTAAAAGAAGTTAAACAGTGTAAAAAATATAAACATGGCTGAGCTGCTGATTCTTATGCTGTATAACTTGGGTGAGGTTGTGAGTTGAATCATTGTTCAGTTTTATATCTTTATCTTTACTGTTTTCAATGAGATGTTGAGGAGAAGTAGGTGAAAATCCATTGATTTAGAAAATTTCTGGAAGGTGATTTGAAGCATTACATGTAGGTAATTTTTGCTGGTTTCTTGGTGATTTGATTGGAGACAAATGCTTGGGTTTTCAGAGATCACTCCTCCCCTTTTATGACCCTTTGGGATCAATTATTTTTTCGTATCTCACTGAGGGAAGGCACATGAGCATTTTAAATAGTGTTTTTCTCACCCTCCGGAGTTTTATCAATTTTTCTGTTTTGTTTTATTTTTTGTTTTATTTTTTCCTTTTTCTTCTGGGAAGATATCTAATCCTCCATTGATGTGTTTCACACTAGAAATACTTATTTCCTATAAAAAAATGCATTACAGTTAGGGATTAGAACTTCTGTTTCTAAAAAGAAGACAGTACAACAACTTTTTACTTTCAAATTGGACATACTACCATACAGAACATAGTGTTAAATTAACTTTAATGTGGCAGTGGACTTATCCTTAAGTTGTGGACCAAACTAAGATACTTCAAATTAGTGATTTAAAGCTCTAATTCATACAATTCTGGTTCTATCATGGAGCCATGTTTCCCTTCAAACAAAATGAGTAGAGGTAAAATTTGACCTGATTTAATGTAGTGAATATAGAGTTGGAATCAACTTTAATGTGGCAGTGGATTTAGTTATGAAGCATGGCAAGTGGATTTTATTAAAGTATACCTGATTTAATGTAGTGCATGTTGACTTAAGGTTGTACTTGATGTAATGCCCCATCTGTCATGTAGCATGACAAGTGGATTATATAAAATTGTGAATCTTATAAAATTTTATATTTTATGGATTACAAAATTAAATAAAAGTATGTTTGTATTTTTGCAGGCACTGAGGTTGATAAAATATGCAGTGGGAAAATCTGGTGTGGAGTTCAGGAGGGAAATGCAAAGAAATTCTGTGGCAGTGCGTCAATTGTTCCATTACAAGGGACAGCCAGATCCTCTGAAGGGGGATGCTCTTAACAAGGCTGTGCGGGACACTGCTCGTGAGGCTATCTCTTCTATCTTCTCTGAGGAGAATAGTAAACCGGCACCTGCTGAAGACCTTAACAAACGAATACAAGGATTTGGGAATACAAACTTTGAAGCACCATCCGAGGATAAGAAATCATTTATCACTGAGGTGGTAGGTCTTGGAAGTGCATCCATAAAGCAGGGAATTAGTAGTTTCACACAAGGTCATTCACTGAAGAAGTCTGACAATGGAAGCTACAAGAGTCCAAATCTTCGAAGGTCATTAACCTCAGAAACCAGCTACTCAGACAGATATGAACCAGTTAAATTAAACAATGATACTCAGAGTAAATTTGGGATTTCAAAAGACATCTCAAGCGGGCCATGGAGTGGGGATTCAAGAGTTGGTAGGAGTGGAACAGAAAGTGGGGATTCAAGTGCAAGTTATGCTGGGAGTAAGACTCGGGAGGAGAAGTTGTTGGAAACCATTGTTACATCTGGCGGTGTACGTTTGAATCCCACTCGAGATGCTATCCAGGTTTTCCTTGTTGAGGCTGCAAAACTGGACGCATTGGCTTTAAGTCATGCCCTTGAATCGAAGCTTCAATCTCCAATGTGGCAGGTGTGTTTAAATTAGCTACAACCCACCAGTTTTATTTGTCACATTCGCAGAGTTTTTAAATTAAGCAAGCATTATAATTGTAGTTATTCCAATTACATCTGACTGGTACTAACATTTTATTACTTACTCTTATAAATCATTTAAATTGCCACAGCTATATCCATGCATAACTAATTCCCCTTTTTTTTAACATTTATTGGAATTATTGATGTCCAGGTTCGCGTGAAAGCTGTATGTGTCCTTGAGTCCATTTTAAGGAAAAAGGAAGATGAACACTTTGCAACTATTGCTTCTTATTTTAGTGAAAACAAAGATGCCGTGATCAGATGCTCGGAATCTCCTCAATCTTCCCTGAGGGAGAAGGCTAACAAGGTTGGCAATTTTATAAATGTTTGAGTTCAATACAGTTTGTTTGACTTCTTTGTTGGACATTCACTTGTAGAACAATTTAAAAACACCTGGCATTGATGTTTGTCTTACAATATCCTTCTTGACTACTAGACTAACCAGTCATCTATATCTTGGATACAACTTATTGTCGTCTGTGATGGTCCAATATATTATATTTTGGTAATGTTTTGAAGGATTTGCTATTTAAATCACTGGTTCTTCATCTAGAGTTGAATTTCATTAAAAAAACTTACGTCTTTACACAGTTCCTCACTAATTTTTATTGGGAAAAAAATAATTATTCTTTTTTTCTTTAAAATTTCTTTTCTTATTGTTAAAGTATTAGAAGTAGAATTTTGAAACATATAAAGCAAAAAACAAGCTTTTGCTAGTGTGCCGAGTTTTTGATTAGACATTCTTTGGAATGGATTTCTGAAGGACTGAGAACTTTTTAGCTTAATGAGATTAGTTTGCTAGCAATCTGCATTCTTTAGCAACTTTGTTTTGCACACATAATTTGTCAGGTTCTGATGTTTCATTTTTTTTTTAATCCTCATAATTTGTGAATAATCTACTGGAGTTGAAAAGACTGAGCTTATTGCATTCTAATCCATAGTCTGCAGAGGAAGCTGGTTTGCCTTTGTGGACTAGATGTTAATTTATATATGTATTTGGCATCAACAGGTTTTGAGTCTCTTTGATGGAGGACAAAGAAGTGGCTTTGGAGGTGGTTCAGAAAAAGTAGTCAAGGCTGACACTGCTGTTGTTCACATGCCCGACCTAATTGATACTGGTGGTCCTGATGATTATTTTGGAACAGAGGATTCTGCAAAGAGACCAACTCCCGAAAAAGTGGCAAATTCTGCAGCAACAGAAACTGCTCTAATTGATGATTTGTTTGGGGAGAGTCTGGGCACAACTGTAAGCAACAGTGAACTGAAAAATGTTGATGATCCCTTTGCAGATGTCTCCTTTCACACTAATGAAGATAGAGAATCTGGAGATGATCTGTTTTCCAGCTTCTCAGTTGATGACAAGCTGGCTGATGATAAAAGTAGCGCGGCTGCCAATAAAAGTGAACATGAATTATTTGATATGTTTGGGTCAAGTTCTGAACTTAAGCCAGAGGAAGAGAAACACAGAGAACCCATTAATGATTTGATGGCCACCTTGTCCCTTGGTGAGAATTCCACAAAGATGGAGCCAAAAGGAAACTATTCTCAGACAGTGGCTGAAAATATGTTTCCAACTTCAAACTTTCATGCGAGTGGTCAGACCTCTGACAATGCTTTTACTGGCATGCTTGGTACTCAAACAGCCGGGATGAATACAAATCCAATATTTCCATTGGGCATGCCATATAATATTCCTCCTGGACTGTTTCTGAATCCATCTTTTACCTCTCAGCCAATAAATTATGCTGCCATGAGCAATTTGCTTGCTCAGCAGCAGTTCCTAGCCACTATGTCTAATTTCCAACATCTTGGGAGCCCGAATGCTCAGAATACTGGCAGTAATCAGGCCACTGGATCGAGTAGAGGTTCAGCACCCATCCCTGATATTTTCCAATCAAATTTTCCTGGGCATGCTCCAAGTTCAGTGATGAACAATTCAAAAAAGGAGGAGACAAGAGCATTTGATTTTATCTCTGTAAGTTTGAATTCTGGCACTTGATTTTGACTTAGTCTGTGAATTGTTAGTCTTTTTGTTTGTTGTTTGCAGTAGTATTCTGAAATATGTGAATACTTTGGTGAAAATATTTCAAGTTTGTCTAAATACAGTCTTTGGGAGTGGAGTTCTGAGGGAACTGAAATCTAGTCAACTAATTTTGCTTCCTTTATAGTCCGATTAGTTGCACATCTTGCACCATAGTTGATATTTGAGGTTTTAATATTATGGCTTTGTTTTTTAGCAGTCAGTCACATGGCCCTTCTCCCTCTCACCCCACCCATACCCCCAGTTTTTGTCCCTAGTATGGATTGTGACAACATTGATATTTTAAATGCCTAGATGTTGGGAAGGATGGTCCCCCCCGCAGGTAAAGTGAGCTAATATAGGTTGTAGATTTAGTAGTAGTTTCCAGTGTGAAATTTGTCATCCTGCTCCGTTAAACTTACTGTTTTCGTTTAGGCTGACTGTTGGGTAATAATGACTGACTGTTCTGGGAAAATAATGGTTGAATTAATACTTAGGGAAATTGACAAAAGAGTTCCTAAATTTAATATAAATGAAGTTAAAAAAGTCATCTATTTCTGTTACAATTTTATTTTCCACCAGAAAATAGGGGTCCAAGCTAACTCTAATTGAGCGGCACTCTCTTCTCCCCTAAATTGTGTACAACTTATTAATTATCACAGTTTAGCATTATCACATTTTTTTGTTTATATAATATTCAAAATTTATACTTAAGACTATGATTGGAATAAATCAAGATTTTTTGTGGCATTCATTTGAAAATTCATACGGTTTCACTATGAATTTGTGAAATTTCATCGAGAATGATACAAGTTGAGAGCATATGAAATTCCAAGTGGATTTAGGACAATTTATATTAAATTCCACGAAAATTGATGGAGTATAGCTTCATGGGAGCTAATTGAGTAAATGGCTAGTTCTGTAAGATGGGAGATTTGGGTTTGGAAAGGTAGTATCCATGGGGATAAATCTTTCAAGAATTTTGGCTACTCTGGGTTATTTGGAAGGCAAGAAATAGAAGGGTTTTTGAGGACACAATTTTCTTTTGATAGATCAAAGATACTTGATTTTAGACTCTATGATTTTTTATTAAGTGTCATCCTCTTCTTTTGATTGACATAATAGCTTTTAAGCATTTTTCTTAAATAAGATTTGCACACTTTGGTGCCTTTAATACTATGCTTTTTCACTTAAATTATGGAATTGAAAGACATCATCCTAGATCTACTTGAAATTCCACACGAACTCAAATTTTATTTATCTTTTAACAATTACTTGCCTCGTTAAAAAATGTGTGGATTGTTGAATAAATTCTACAAAATTTCTTAATTTGTAGCAAATATAGCCTTAATGAGGGGCGAATCTTTGGTATTGATAGATACTATATTAAATGCGAGAGTAAATTTTAATTGCTAAGACATTGAAGTGCCAAATTGATGAAATCAAGACTAAGATATTTGTATTTCTAGAACTGGGACCTTGTTTTTTCTGTAAAAGAAGACAAAAGTGTTGTTTTTTTTTTAATGTTCCCAAAAGGTATCTTACAAGGTAAACAAATAGTAAACTTTTGGGGAAGAGGTCAGAAGAATAATATAGTTTCGATGTGAAAGGGGCTGAAAGTGAACATTTAAGGGGAGAAGAAGAGGAGAATATGCAGGGAAGAGGAATTAAAGGGAGACAGAAATAATGGGCAAAAACCATGTATTGTATCACGTAAAGAAACAAAAATTCTGAGCTGTCTGTAATGATCACTAAACAAGTTTGCTGTTTTAGCACTTTAATTGTTCTGCATTATTGACATGTTCGAATTTCTTATTTATGCTAGTAGAATTTAGTGTAAGATGTGTTAGCAATGGTGTTATGTGGACGTTGTTGAATGGAAATTTAGATTCCAAGAGGTTGAACATCTAGTTTTAACCTAAAGTATTCCTTTATTGAAGTGCTGTATTTCTATATTCCAGGACCATCTTGCATCAGCTCGTGATCAAAGGAGGGTTGCTTAAAATCACATTCATGAGCCTCTTGGTGTTTTGGTGATACCTTATTTATTTGAGGCAGCCTGAATCTATGGGCTACTGTTTTCTTATACATAGAGATTGCCAAGTCTTCTGTTATATTTTCTATTCTTAGCAACCCTTGAAGAATTGTCTACATGTTACGAGATGATGAGGAATCCTGAAATCACAAAAAAGAGAAAAAAGTAAACATAGAAATTGTTTGTATTCCAAATAAAACAATATTGAGATGTTGTGCAGTTAAGTTTTTTTTTTCTTTTCTTTGTTTCTTTTTTTTTTTTTTTAAATTCCTTTTTTTGAAGGCAGAAAATAAAAATAATATTAACAAGGAACCAAGGACACATTCGGTAACAGAAGTATCACCTACACACAAATATGAAAACATAAGCTCCATTTGCTATATGAAAATGTGTGTGTGTGTGTATATATATATACATATATATTTTGCATTACTATTTTTTAGATTTTATGTTTGTACATGTGTTTTATTTCTGAAAGTGTATAGGAGATGTGTGTCTGGAGAATAACAAAAACGAAACTAGTTTTAGAAAATATTTAAAATAACGTTTTAAATTTTCATATTTCATTATCATTTTGATAA